AGAGGAAAGGGACCCTAGGGAAGGAGGAGGGAAAGAAAAGGGGAAACATCAGGAAATGACACTGGTCAAATTATAAACAACCAATAAGTATAATAATGCACCAAAAAAAATGTAGAGGAAAAAAAGTGTGTTATAAATCTAGCACTTACAAAGAAATAATCTCTTTACTCAAGTTTTCCAAATCTAAAATCTAATCAAAGCTTAAAAAATTAATACTCTATACTAAACATACACAACAGTAAAAACTATCAACTTTGTGGTACTGCCATGAGCACAGGCATAGACCAATGATATAAAACCAAGAGGCCAGAAATAACCCAGATACTATTGCTGAATGATTTTCAGCACAGATGCTAGCACCATTCAAGGAGAATGAACAGCCTTTCAACCGATAGTGCTGATGTAACTGAACATCCACAGGTAAAAGAATGAAGCTGGATCCCTACCTCATACCACACCAAAACTAACACAAAATGCATTAACAATCTAAAATAAAAGGGTAAATAAAAGGGTAAATCTTTTTAATCTTGGATGTGGCAATGAGTTCTTAGATGAACCCCAAGAGTATGAACAACAAAAGAAAAAAATAAGATAAACTGGACTTCATCAATTAAAATTTTTGTGCATCAAAGGATATCAATAGCTGGGTGTGGTGGTCACCTGTAATCCTAGGAGGCAGGAGGATCATAAATTCAAGCCAGCCTCAGCAACTTATAGAGCCCTAAGCAACTTAGTGAGATCCTGTCTCAAAATAAAATATAAAAAAGTCTGGGGATGTGGCTCAGTGGTTAAGTGCTTCTAGGTTCAATCCCAGATGCGGGGGAGGGGGGGTGTCATTCATATTATATATATATTTTGAAGAGACAATCTATAGGGAGTAACTATCTTCAAATTATATATCTAATAAGGATCTAGCATTCAAACTACATAAATAATTCTTATAACTCAATAACAAAAAAAAACTAATTTAAAAATGGACAAAGACTTGAGATATTTCTCCAAAGAAGAAATAAAAATGGCCAATCATAACACAAAAAGATGCGCAATTTAATTAGCCATTAGGGAAATGCTAACCAAAACCACAATGAGATACCACTTCATACCCACTAGAATGGCTATAATTAAGACAGGAAAATAGCATGTTGGCAAGGACATGGAGAAATTGAAACTCTCCATTACTGGTATAAATGTAAAATGGTACAACAGCTGTGTGAAACAGCTTGACAGTTCTTCAAAGGTTAAACATAAAATTACATAAGACCTAGTGATTCCACTCCAGACATACTCAGGACTGAAAAACAGTACTAAACACTTGAACATGAATGATTCATAGCAGCACAACTCATAATGGCCAAAAGGGGAAACAACCCAAACAGCCACCAACAAGTGAATGGATAAATAAAATAGGGTATGTATCTACAATGGAATATTATTCAGACGGAACAGGAGAAAGGAATTAAGGTACTGATATATGTCACAGTCTGGATGAACCTCTAAACGCTAAGTGAAAGAAGCCAGCAACAAACAGCTACACATTGTACAACTCATTTACATGAAAGATCTAGAAAAGATATATCCAAAGAGACAGAAAGCAGACTGGTGATTGCCAGGGTGGGGGTGGGGGGGAGAGGTAAGTATAAGTAATACGTATAAAACTGTTTTGACACTTTTTGATTAAGATGGTGGTTTGCATAAATCTGACAATGTATTAAATGCCAGCAAATGAAAACACTAACATGCTTGTCTTATGTTAATTTCACCTCAATTTATAAAAATAAACTTACAGGATATCTTTTTACCCCAATGAATTTTACCTTACTTATTTTGAAAAAGTAGATCAGATAAATTATCTATGTAAAAACAACTTATATGCAAAATGAGACTAATTTTAAGACCCCCATGTTGTGTAAAAGCCAACTATTCCACAGAGAAGCTGTGTGGAGAGAAGTGGCCAGCCCACACCCAGCTGTCCTGGCCATGCCAGCAGAGCAAGAGGCTGGCTCTGGTGATCATCCAGCCTAGTCAAGCTGCAGAGGACTGGAGTGATGGCTGCCGTGTGACAGCAACTGCATGAGGGAGCCCGGGAAGAAACTGCCCAAGTGAGCTGGGTCAATTCAAAGAACAGTGGAAGACAATGAATTGTTCTTAGAAGACACACACACACACACACACA